GTTCTATATAAACTAATAGGAATTTATATATTATTCAAAGATTAATAAAAACCTAACAGGAATCTCTTTTTAAAATTTTCATGAATCGGAACCCATTTTTTTAGTCCTTGATTCCTTCCAAATTATGATAATAGTAATAACTCATTTAAAATATATCATATGTAAAGAGTAAGTAGAATAAAATGAGTATTATTTATCTAAAATTTTTCATCTATTGGAGTTTGCTTTTTAGAGCTCATATCATTCTCCATCTCTGTTACAGACTTAACTTCATGGTGTATCTTGGACTATGTAGACCCCAGTAATTTAAAAAGGGTTATAACTCATAATCCTTTCCATATTTGTCTCGATCTTTTAGTAGTTTAATATTTTTAGGTAAGGTATACTTATGCAAAATTAATTTGGGTTATGTTTGGTAGTTTATAAGTAATAAAGGTTTATTGGAGTTTGTATCTAGTCATCCGTGTAACTCTTCCACCCCCTCCTACCCCATTTGTGTCAGTATTGATATATTAAGCATAAATACACACTTTTTATACATCTTTATTGATTAAAAATTAAATATTTGAACTTTTTAAATAAACATTTTATATCATCAATTTTATTTATATATTTTCTATATCATATTGTGTGTGACATTTTATAATAATTTATCACTTTTTTAACTCTCTTGGCAAAAGCTTTATAAAATTTTAAAATAACAGTCAAAGTCACTTTATTAGAGTTTATTTAATATATGATTAAAACATGAAAGCTACTAATAAATTTAATTTTAAAATATAGCATATCTAAATTGGGGTCCAAGGGAACCCCACCGAGACTTTCGTTTTATATTTTTCACCTGTGTTATACAGGGTTACCAGGTCAAAATTTTCAAATTGCGGGAGAAATTTGGAATTTTGAGGGTGAAATATGAAAATTGCGGTAGAAATATAAAAATTGCTAAAAAAATTTTAGCGGGCCGAATTAATTAATTTATCCCCCTATTAATTCATGTAATTACTTTATATAAATATTAACAACGTCAGCAACGTTTTATAATTTAAAATAGTAATATTTTTCAAAATAACTTCTTTGTAGTAGAGTTACTTTATTTATATTATATATAAAAGAAAATAATTTGAATCAATTAATGTCTTTATCGGTTTTTTAATCAGGGATCCAAACCGAATATCGGTTGGGGTTCAGGTTCGGATAAAAATAACAGTTCAGAGTCAGGTTCGGTTCGTAAAAAATTAAAATATCGGTTCGGTTCTAACCTCTAAAAAATGTTTCGAATTATGTATAGGGAAAATATTTTTTTATTTTATCATTAATTTAAAAACATATGTATAAAACCGTCATTTTTATTAATTGCACATTATAAAATAATATTTAATTTATAAATATAAAAATAACTATCAAAGATTAATTTTAATATGAACAATATTTTACTTTTTCTTACTTAAATTTTTTTTTATAAAGCCGCACAATTAATATACTTTCAAAATTCGTCTCACTCAAATTACATCTATAAGGTTATAGTAAAAATTTAATTGTTGAAAAACATCTTACACTAACTTGGGTAGCCGGCACTGCCAATATGATATCAGATTTGATATGTTATTTATAATAATATTTTGGATTTAATTTTTTCTCTAAGCATTATAATTTATAAGCTTAAAATATTTAAAAAATGTTGTAAAATGACAATATACTAAAGTTTATAAAAATTAGGACAGACACTTATCAATCAAATGTGATTGATGATAATCTTTAAAATAATTCAAATATAATTGAAATTTTTTCAATATGCTAATAATAACTTGCATATTATTTTATAAGAATAAAATCATGAGGCTCGAACCGGTTCAGAGGCATTTTAGCGGTTCGGTTCAGGTTTGAGAAAATTGAATAAGATCCTCGTTTATTTATTATTACCATGATGTGTTTAGACAGAATAATTAAACAGAATAAGACAGAATTTTATTATCATAAATCACATTTTATTTTTATTATAAATTACATTTTTTTATTAACTCCTTTAACAAAAAACAATTTTTCTTTTTATAAACAATAAAAAAATAACCAATTATGTGAAATACAAATTGATATTAAAAAAAATGTAACGTTAAAATGATATATAAAAAAAATATTAATATAAAATTTTCACCGATTAAATTTAAATACAAATTGATATCAAAAAAATAAATCAATTGCCAAAATAAATAAAACGTTGATATAAAATAATATCGATCAACATATTCAACAGGGTTCGATAAAAAATACCGGTTTAACGGTTCGGCTTGGATCCCTGTTTTTAATATATTTATTAAATTACAAAAACCATCAATTGATGGTTTCTGTTCCAAGGTCATAATATCCATACATTTGTAAATCGAGTTATTAATTTTGATTGCAAAGATTCTAAAATTTTCTTAATAAAAATATTAACTTCATTTAAAAATTCCATAAGTAATATTTAACATTTTAATATATTTTCGTAATAGCGCCATAAAATTATTGTCAATTTTTAACTGTAAAGATGAACACAGCTGCAGCATAATTTTGTGAATCTTTATTAAAAAAATACTTCTGATTGCAACTGCATAACAACATGTAATAGATTTCCTACATCATTTCATTCTTGAAAAAAATTTTCAAAATATTAGGACAGCTTTTGTAATCTTTATTTAAAAAATATTTTTTAAAGGTTCGTAAAATTTTAAAATTCTATCGATGGTGGATATTAATGATAACCACCTTATAGGGAAATGTCGCAACAACTCAACATTCCAAGTCAGACCACACCACCAACTCTTTTAATTCATTAAATATTTTAGTTGATGAACAAACATTTCATTACAATTATTTCGACATCCACAGATAATACATTCATTGCCTTCTTGCATATGGCATTAAGTCAACATTGCGCTGACTCAATTCTGTAAATATACTATGGGTTTTGCCAAAATTCACTGAGGCACTATCAGCGCAGAAAGCTGACATTCAACTCATTGATAATCTCGAATCTGATATATTTACCATTATGTGGTTAGCTATGTCTTAGGACTTTTCACTATCTGAGGAAATTTTTTTTAATAGTTTTATTGAAACGCTTTTATTTTTATTGAAATAGCGGGGGTCAGGGGAAATGTTTTAATATTTTCTTTATTAGATGCATCTGTTAGAATTGCATATGGATGTCCATCTTTCAAATCGTCAAGAATTGATATCCTGGATTCAGGTTCTGAAACATTAGTGATAGCCTTGCTCATTTTTGTTTTACCACAAGTAAAGTTTTCAATTATCTTGGAGTTGTTAAATATTATGAGGAAATGATTAGACCCACATTGTGATAAGAAGCTCTGTGAATGTTGTACTACATAAGTGTATACCATTTCCGCAACTGTAATCACATTTGTATTATTTCTTATTTTTGTATTGCAATAGATGTAGATACACTCCACTGCACTGATTATAATAATAATGTGATTGAACTATAATAGATAAAATAATTATATTGAAATAAGTACTATTACTTTATTATGTATTTAAACGTGAAACATATTAAGCGACTAGCCCTATAATGTTACACAAACATACATGAAAATGATAAGATATGAATGAATGATGTTGATTTATTATTGGATAAAAATAAAACATTAAGGAAATGATAAAAAGAAATACAAACATGTTTTTTGAATAAATATTTAAAATTTATTTTAAAAATATAAAAATAATCAATTGCTTCTCAAAATTATTATTTATATATTAAAACGTTAAAATGCTAAAAATTTAAAAATTGCGGTTGATTTCCACTTCAGGAGTTTTACGGGAGTGAGATGTCTGCTTGTAAACTAAAAAATGCGGGAGTCTCTAGCTGATGGGGGGAGACCTGGCAACCCTGGCTATGAAAGGTTAATTTTCAATATACGGTTTGATATGGCATCGAATTTATATTCACTGCCATATATTCATGAATAATATAGTATTCCCATGATGACGCTAAGAGAGATAAATGTTCTAGGAATGGTGTGAAAAAACGATATATTATTATACAAATATTATGCAGATCAATATCATTTTATTATGGTAAATAAATATTGTATTAAATTTAAATATTCTGAAAATCTGGGACCCGAACCGTTATGTTCAGTATGTAAAAAATTATAATGGTTACGTTTTGGTTACGGTTCTAAAGAAATTTTTTATAAAGGTTCGGTTCGGTTCAGCTAATTATAAAGGTTCATTACGGTTATAAATTTTTTTTTTATTGAAGCAACACCATCGTCTAATTTATTTTTATTATAAGCATCTATGAATTATATATAAAAAAAATATATATGATCAAAATAACTCATTTTTATATATATTATTTGAACGTATAAGTAATATATTTTCTAATATAAATGAATTCCTTTTTGTTCGTTGTGACTATAACACAAATTTTAGCCCCGAAAAGGCCCTTTCTAAGGAAACTTGTGTTGCGGGAACCGCCAGTACTATAAGAGCAAGTTTATATAATTCTGGATATTCAAATTATTTCCATTTCTAAAATATAAAAACTCAACCGGTTTAACCTTTTTTTATAAAGGTTTTTTTACTCCTTTAAAAAATAATTATATCGGTTCGGTTACGGTTCAGTTATTTATAACTGTTTATAATGGTTTAACGGTTTGTTACGGTTTATTCCGGGTCCCTGCTTAAAATGCATCCTTCTTTATTAAAAGGGGGAGTGAGTTGGTATTCTATCATTCTCATCAGTTATATATTATATATCTTGTTACTTTCAAAATAAAATAAATAAACTTTTAATATGTGGCAAATTCATTAATATTTTTGTAAAACTATTTTATGATACCCTTACCCATTAAAAGGGAGTACAAATAAATGCAAATGCCAACTCAATATAACGCTTAATATCAAATAAAATACGATTGAATATTATTTTTTTAGGGGTGGAGGCAGGGGAGTGTTATATTTTATAAAATAAATAATTATGCAATATATATGCTACTGGCACATTTTATTCGATTTAATTTCAGGAATTTTCAGGATTTATAGCGCCTGAAACCACTATAAAAACGAAAAATATAACAATATATATCCAATATTTTGAAAGGAATGAAGTTTTGTCTCCTTGAATAGATTTAGCCTTTTCAGCCTTTTCCATCTCCAATCTTTGAAGCCATACTTGAGTATCTGGAGTCGGTGCCTGGATAGTTCGCTGCAAGAAAACGGTTATATTATTTGCGGTCTCTGGTCTGTGACTAATATTTAAATTAATATAAATTATTTTTAGAAAAAATTAACATTAAAAGTGGAAAAATTTATTCGAAAATTAAAATAAATAATACAATTTTACAATTAATTAAAAGGATTATACTTATATATTATACATGTAAAGTAAAGCCTTCATAAAGTGTTTAATGACTCGTGTATAGTTTACATGTTGGCCAGCATATTTCCATCATTAATAAGATTTTTAGGTCGGAACCAACCAAAATGTGTAAATATAAAGTGGCTGTTATGTAACTATGAAGAAGTGATCACCTTTAAAGATTTTACTATATAAATTAAAGTTTTTCCTTTAATCTTTAAAAGGTTATTATAAAAATTTCATAAAGGATTACAATTTTCAAACTACATAATTTTTACCCTAAATAATATTAAATTATTTTTTTTAAAAAATATACCTCTAAATAAATATGAAAAAAATTCCAATTATCAAATTTGGGCTGGTATAATTATCGATGGGTAACAGTGGCTCCTTTCATGTGGTGGGAAGGTATGATGCAATAACGCTAATAGAATTGTATGAGATAACAATACCACTCATATTAACATGGTGGTGGCTGAATACCAAATACCAATGCCCAAAATAATAATGTATATTAAAATAACTCATAATTACACCAACCATTTTTTTATAATTAATATATAAATTATTAAATTAAAAGAAATAAAGGCTAACAGCTTCTTCCTTTTTATTGGTTTAGAAATTATTAAACCTTATGAAAGTTAGTTACTTATCATTTTTAAGTATCGACTACTTGTACTGTTTAAAATTAAAAGTATCTGCTGATACCGTTAGTATTGATATATCTTTATAGTTAATATTTATTTTCTCATTTAATTTTATAATTAATCATAAATAAATAAAATGATAATATTGACAAATTATATATTTTATATATTATTACATGATTCATGCATGATTAGATTATATTTCCATTTAATATTTTTATCTAAGATCTGCAAAGGTCAAAATTTAGGCCTGACCCAGATTTGAAAAAAAACTGTCTTCAAGCTTTGCCCAGGATTTATTGAACTCCAATTTTTAATTTTGATCATTTGATGATCCAATTAAGAAGTTTTAAATTTCATTTTGAAATTATTATGAATATTTAAAAAAAATGTATTTAATGCCTATTAATATTTGTAAATCTTGGCCATTAAATAAAATTGGGTCTATGTAGATAGTTTTAAATATCTTTGTCTAAAATATTATACCTTTAAATATGTTTTTTCATTGGTTTTTACATAATTATTTTTATTGTAAATATTTTAGTGTTAATACTTTCCCATGAATTTTATCTAGTACATTCATAAGTAAAATTATAACAAGTGTTTTGTGAGACATATTAAACAATTTTATTTATTTATAAGCTATGCTACAACCTTGTCACTAAAGTGTTAGATTGAAGAGAAGCCTAAAAAAATATTAATCATTGATGAAGAAAATTATATTGGGAAATAAATCAATATATTAATTCTTAGTAGAGGCTAATACATCATTATTAATTAAATGTTTCAGTTTACATGAACTAGATTATAGGGGGAGTCTGAGCATCATTAGCTTAGGAGTGATAAAAAGCACTGTTATCCTCATTTACATAAAATCTTAAATACTACACTAGTTTTTTGGTACTTGTAGTCCTACTCTCTGGTTATCTTAAAAAAATAACATATATTTAATATAGTAAAAAAATATTTTTTGATTACATGTTATGTTTGTTCTTTGTTAATAAATCAGATACAACAATACTATTTTTCTTTGATTCATGTTTTGGTGATAGATAATTGATTAATGGTGTCTTAATATTAATACTTAAAACATGCCAACCATCTGATGGACCTCTATCCAACCAAGAATCATCCTTTTTCATATCTAATGAATTTATATTCTGTGTTGATTCATCTTCCATGATATTTAAAGAGAATGTCACAGAAAAATTTGAGTAATAAATAAAGCAAGATTTAGTAAAGGTTTGCAAATGAAAATCAGTCAATTTAGGAGCCAGTTTTTCTGATTTTTGAAAATCAAACTGTTTAAATAGTCTAAGTTTATATAAGCCATCTTTATTACAACTTTCGCCTAAAGTTTTCCAAAACTCTAAATTAAGAGCCTCCTCAATGGGCATAAAATTTACAGGCTGTGGTTGAAATTCAGAGGAAATGACAGTTTGAGTTGGGGATATGTATGAAAAGGGGTCATCCTCTATGTTATTTATATCATCGGACAAAGAATCCTCATATATTTTATTGTTTTCATGGGATTTTATATTACTGTTTGTCAATTTTGAAGGTGGCAATTCATCCTTTTTTAACAAGCTGGCAGTAATTTGTTGAATATTTTTAGGGTTTAAATGTATATATCCAAAACATGAAGGGGAAACGGAATCATTATTATCAATAGAATGACAAAGTGTATAGAAAATTGATGGTACATTACTAATAGTAGAAGTACCAAACTTTAAATTAACGAGAATTAGTATCTTAAAAAGATATAAAAAATTATTAAACATCATGTTTTTTTAAAAATATTGCTCATAATAGACTAACTTTCCCCGAAAGAATATATTGATAATATTTTTAATAATTTATTTTTATACATAGATGGCAAAATGCCGTCAACGTTAAATAATATGAAAGTAGATAGACAACGTCGTATTATATCTTTTATAGGCAAGTCAATGAAACTAAGGGGAATTTTTAATATTATTTTTTAATATTTTTTTTATATTTATTTTAATTCAATATTTTTTTATTAAAAAAATAAATATGCAATTGTATATATTGGTGGAAGTTTTTTTTGTGAAAATTTTCACAATTCTTTAATTTTACAGTAAAAATGGAGATTATTTAAAAATTTTTAAAAGGCGTGTGCTATATTGGATGTTACTAAGTTAGGACTATTAAATCAAATACTAGATAATTAAGTAAGTTATTTGAATGAACTATACAAACAATGATAATATAATTTTAAGGGAAAAAAATATATCTATAATATCCTAAGCCCTAAACTATAATGCAAAATAAGTATATATAAAAATATACAAACAATAATTCTACTTTTATTTCATTTAATAATATCATATGATATCTCAAAAACAAAAGAATAAAAAATATTATCATATATCTTATTCGAAATCCCTTGACAAACGTTCATAAATTATATAGATACAACATATATAAATTTATATCATCTAAAAATTTAGTTAATTTATTAAATTTGACATATTTTTAATATTACGAAAATAAAAATATTCACATATATACAAATGGGAGGAAGATTTTCGAGATGCCGGCCGAGTAATGATCATATCCATTTTCATTAAGATTAAAAATATTAAATTTTATGATTTATCAATATTTAATTTACCTCTTACATTTGTCTGTCATTATAGTTGAATCAGTATGGGTGTGCTTACTGATTATACCCAGAAGGGTTTCATCTCTTTTTATAGTTTCAGCAACAAAAAATTTCCATCATTCCTTGATAAGTGTTGTTAAACGGCTCATTATGAGTCGATTTTTAAAAACGGATAATTCAATATTTTATTAGGAAAAATATTATGCAAGCCTTAAGATTATGCTCATAGGTGGTACAAAGGTTTGAACATCTATTAACGAAATCTCGAGGCCTAGGCATTATTTTCCTGGCTAAAATATTAAGTTAGCCGTTTTAAAAAATCGACTCAATATGAGCCATTTAATGGTTAATGATGCTTGGTACCTTAAGGTACCATCTATCAAATTTGAATTTTGTTCATTTTTCATTTGGATAGGCACTACCAAATATATTTATAATATATATTTGAAAAATCGTGATTTTTGGATAGCCTCTATGGCCTAGTAGGCAAGAGCTTGGCTTACTTATCCTATGCTCCCGGGTTCGAATCCCGGGAATATCATGTTTTTTTTCTTATTCTAACTTGGTGGTTCCATCCTTGGGGGGATAATATATAGGAGGCCGGACTCGACCACGTGATTCCGTATTAATATATTAAATAATAAGGGTCTTATTACATTTTAATAAATTTTGGTCGGTATTTAGCAAATTAGATTGGTATTTAAAATATTTCCATACATTCACTTGGTAGTAAGCATCATTAACCCCATTTAATAACGCTACTTGATATCCCATTTACAACCCAAATGAGATTTGATTTTAAAATCCTCCCTGTGTTATTTTTTCTATTAAAAATATAAGATTCATTTATTTCGATCACATGCCCAGGGCCCCCTATTTTTCAAAAGATATTGACTGTTTTATCAAATTTTTTTAAATATTGCATACCTATAGAAACTAATTAACTTATAGAAATATATTACCATTTTCTAATAGTACTCTGTACCAAACCTATTTAACTAAGACTGCCACTTATAGAATTACTGGATACAAAAAGATATAATAGATGAATAAATTTGTTCAAAGGAAATATTTTTAAACATGGTGCCTAATTAATTAAATAAAATTTAAAAAATAAAGATGCTGAATTTTTTTCCATCTTGATGCTATTATAACAATATGCGTGATTAATAAGAAGCTCATGATCTTTTAAAAAAATGGTTCTTTTATATGAAATTATGATCTCGGTAAAATTTATGTAATCCATAAAATGGGGGTAATATTTGTTAAATATATATATGAATTATTATTACATTAAAAAATTTCCACCGATATCCATTCCACATGATCGCATATTTATTATTTTTTAATAAAAAAATTTAAAAAAAATAATATTAAAAATTTCATCTAGTTTCAGTAACTTACCCTTTTAAATCATTGTGTAAGATTAAACTATTTAATACATAAAATAAATTAATAAAAATGAAAAAATTAGGTAATAATAATAATGATAGCATAAGTATAGAGTTTCCGACATATTCGACAATAAAGATTTATTTTTAAGCAGGTTTGAGGATATTTATGAAGATACTCAAATTTTAGATATCGATAAAGCTGGATCATTCACGTGGAGATTACCGGATGACATGTATGTTAAATTGCACTATATATCCTCGCCGACGGACTTCATCAACTTTGATTAAAAAATTTAAATTATTTCATACTAAAAAATTAACGAATGCAAGTTTAATTTTATTTATGGGAGTTCATGAGAAATGAAACATACGTTAATTGCAGTGGCCGCTACACTTTCTGAGGGATAAAAGCAGAATACCACCCTGAAAAGTACCTTCCCCCTCGAAAAAATAGTTAATTATTTTTTGACACCCACAATCAAAAGTAATTTTTATGCATCAATCTTTAATACATAATATAAATAAAATGTAAAAAAATATATACTTTAAAAATATTTTTTTTAAATTAATAATTTAGATAAATTAGGGGAAGAGAACGCGAAGGAATTTATAATTTCATCAATATTTATTTGTTTATATAATTTTTTTTCACTGATAAAGGGGTTAAATTATTGAGAAATGGATCTTTCATGATGGTGCTACAAAATCTTGTTTTAATTAATTTAATTTTACTCATGACTCTTTCGGCAGTACATGAGGTAGTAGGAATGGTTAGTAAATATTTATATAAAATTGTTAAATTAGGGAAAGCAGAAAAATTTAAAAGTAGACGATAAGGTAAAATAAAAGAATAGTTTGTCCAGTCTGAATCATAAGTCTCAGAATTATCATCATCATCAGAAGAAGAAGCTAAATAATGTATTAGTATAAATATTTTAATTAAATAAATTCACAATTCTCAGAATCTACTAGATTTTTTAACCTCTAGGTCACGAGTAATATTTACTCCCCTGTTTTAGCCATCTTCGAAACTTCAACCTTTCTTCAAAAATTTGACTTGAATTAAATGATAAAATTCACATATATCCTCGATATCATCTTTAACAATTGACTTTTCCGCTATTCCTTTTGGTGTAAAAAATGATGTTTGATTTAAAAATTTCATTGATTCATCATTAAATCTTTCATTAAACTGCATAATAATCAAATCAAAAATCAAGTGCATAAAACACTGGTTTTAAAGCTAAAATAAAAATGATGAAAGTATAAACCTCTCCTTTTTGGATTGGAATGTTTGAAGTCTAGAACTTTCAAAATGAAAAGGTAGATTTCTCTCCTTCATAAAATCTTGTGCTTTTGAAAAAACATATAATATAAAAATTCAATGTTATTATCAATTAGGATTAAAAAATAATAAAGGACAATAATTTAAATTAAATTTCAAATTAATCAGGCAATCTTTTACCAATTCAATTTGATTTATTGCAAACCATATATCCTTCGAAATGGTTTGTAATATTGTACAAGCCAAGCTTGTTATCAGAAATATTTTATCCAAAACACAAAGTGAAAATAAAATAAAATTTTTCTATTCTAAAGACTACAGCACTAGCCATGAAGTGGCAGGATCTTCAGTTTAAATTTGTCAAAGCTGCCCTCAAGACATCATAAAGTAGGAAAATATTTACAATTGCTTTGTATGATGATAGCCAGCTTCTATAAATATAAAATAAACATTTTAAATCTAAACAAATAAGATAATATTACAGAGCGGTATTTTTGATGCGTAGAAATCGTTGCTATTTTGTCAGTACATTACTCTGACATGCTTTGGGCACCTCATATCTTTTAACGCCATTAAAATATACAAAAATCTCATCTAATATTCCTAAATATTTCTGAGTTCTTTAATTGATTGGCATGATTGAACAATGATTAAATTTAATCGATGACAATAGCATCAAATAATAGCTGCCTTTGACGCCTCCGCGCTAATCAAAGTCTGCACTCCATTGATTCTTCCACTCATGTTTGAGGCGCCATCATAGTTTTGCCCAACTAGGAATTCGAGGGGTAGATTCACGGAGCCAAGTTTGGATATTATATTATTTTTAATATCGAGACCAGTTGTATTTCCTGTACAATATATGTCTATCAGTCTTTCAACAGGGTTAGGCCTCTCGCTATTTTCAATAAATCTTACTAAGCACCTGTTAAATTCAATCTCCTCTTGAATTATTTTTATAATCATATTTTTCATGGTTTCAATGAGAATATTTATGTTATTATATGATAATAAATTTGAATATAATTTAGATTTTAATCCCTTATTTTTTTTTATCCCTTCTTCTTTCTTCATTTTGTTGTAAATACATTTTGACAACAGGTTCGGAATCTGCAATTAGTTTATTAGGCCCATCATATTGCCTTCTTGTTGCCTATTCCCCAGAAGGCTTGGTTACGAGATATTAAATAACCTAGAGATCTTATAATAGAACGGTTATTGTCCACACATTCTTTCTGTGGTATTATAAATTGTAATATGGGAAAAAGCTACTATTACATAGCTTTTCTTTATATCGTTTAAATTAAGCCCACCATGTCTTTTTCTAATGTGGTCTGTCCATTTATCATCTCTTATATTATGAGATGTGTAATTTTTAATTAATTTGTATTTTTTTGGTTAATATTTTTGGGCATATTTTGAAATTGGAAAAATAATTTTATGACAAGAAATCTTGGATAACTACCTAATTTACTAAACATCGACCAAAATTCTGTCAAT